CTGACCAGCAGCCGTCCCTGTGTTGCAGCTTCACCTGGTCCGCCGCCCGGACGGACCGCAACGTGATCTCCGTGCTGTCGGGCCAAGTGGTGGAGACGTTCGAACGTGCTGCCCGCCGTGGTCCCCCTGGCGCCCTCGGGCACTGTGGCCAAGAAGCTCGTCAACCCTAAGTACGCGCTGGTCAAGGCCAAGAGCGCCGAGGAGATCGCCAAGGTCTCCTCGGAGAAGCAGGAGGGCCAGAGGCCCCCGGGGCTGCGCGGCCCAGGGCTGGCCGAGCAGCCGGGGGACCTCCCAGAGCCGCCCCTGCCCGTGCACCCGGGGCTGCTCCACCTGGAGCGGGCCAACATGTTCGAATACCTGCCCACGTGGGTGGAGCCGGACCCGGAGCCGGGCAGCGACATCCTGGGCTACATCAACATCATCGACCCCAACATCTGGAACCCCCAGCCCAGCCAGATCAACCGCATCAAGATCCGAGACACCTCCCAGGGCGGCGCCCAGCTGTGGAGGCAGAGCCAGAGCCAGGACTGCAGCCCCTCTCCGGAGCCCAGCACACCCCAAGACGGTCTCCCAGCCAGGAACGGCCTCCCCCAGGGGGACCCCAAGCCAGAGCCCCCTGTGCCCAAGCCCCGGACAGTCCCTGTGGCAGACGTGCTTGCCCAGGATGGAGGCGGTGCCGGCTGGGCCCCAGAAAGCCCGGAAGAGGAGGTGCTGCAGAACAGAACAGACCACAGGCTGCCCAGGACCCCAGCCCCAGGCCCAGGCCCTGCCCCGCTCCGGCGGCAGCTGTCTGTGGCCCAGGGTGACCCTGGCGGCGAGGGCGGGGGGATCCCCAACGGCCTGGACCAGGAGGACGAGGAAGACGACGATGACTACATAACCCTCAGTGACCAGGACAGCCTCTCGGGCAGCTCTGGCCTTGGCCGTGGCCCGCGGCGGCCCTCGGTGGCTTCCTCTTCTGTGTCGGATGAGTATTTCGAGGTGAGGGGACACCCGCCCCCTCTCCGGAGGCGCCACTCAGAGCAAGAAGCCAATGGGCCGGCCCAGCCCCCTCGCCGACAGCTGAGCGCCCCCCACATGACCCGCGGGACCTTTGGGGAGCCCCTGTGTGGTTCACCGTGGGCCCAAGGTCGGGAGAGAGAGGAAGCGGGCTCTCTGCGGAAGATGCAGGCCTTTCGCTCTGTGGACAAGAACGCACAGGTGGGTCAGGTCTCTGCAGCGGGTCTGGGAGCCCCTTCCCTGGGCCTGAGCACCCAGAGCGGCCTCCGCTGGGCTCCCTGATGAGCAGGGTAGGGAGTGGGTAGGCACCCCCCCGGAACCATGCACGCAGGCGCAGGCACGGGCACATGACGATGCTAGAGACCTTCGGCCCCAGTCTCCCCTCAAGGCAGCCTCTGCAGCACTGGCGCTGAATGGAACCCACCGTGTTTCACACCCGTGTGCTACAGGAAGTCAGTGGCATCCCCAAAGCACACAGCAAGTGGTCCTCCAGGGGCCTTGTGTCAAGCCCCCTCCGTGTGGATCCCTTTGATTGCGGTCCTGGGGACCACTCTCCTCCATGCCCCCACCCCCACCCAGGAAACAGCTCATATGCATCCTTGGCCTCTTCCTGGTACCTCTGCAGCCCCGGCCCTACCTGGGAACAGTGCACGGCTGATCATGCCTGGCATGATGATCAGGCCCATGGGCAGCATCTTGAGGTAGCTGGCCAGGATGGAGCCTGCCTTGGCGTGGTTCAAGTCCCGGGCAGACAGCGACCGCTGCACGATGACCTGGGGGCACAGGGAGGCAGTGAGTCCCAGGGGCAGGACTTACCCGGGGGAGCCCCAGGGAGAGGCCTGGGGTGCTGCCCCACTAGTGCCAGACCCGCCTGAGACAACCAACGCCCACGCCTGCTACCTGACGGCTCCCCCAGAAGCAGAGCTCATCTTGATTGGCCGAGCAACTGGGGCCAAGGTACTCATTCCAGGGACTCAGTCTCCCCGTCTGTTCATCAGGGAAAGTGGGTCCTGCCCAGCCTGCCTCCCAGCAGTTGGCAGGGCTGGAGGGGCCCTGGTAGGATGGTACCAGGGGACTCCCCCAGCTCCTGAACCCTCACAGGAGGGGCTGGCATATTCATGCACGTGCTTTGTGTCACTGGCAGAGGTCGGAGCTCTCAGACCTGTGGTTGGGGGAAGCTTCCAGTTCTAGGTCTGCCTGAGGCATCGTCAGGCGGCCTTGGGCAGATCCTGGCTGAGCCTCAGTTTCCAGGTCTGCAGAATGGGAGGATGGAGGGCTCATGGAACTGATGGCATCTGAGATCCCTCCCGACTCTGACATTACGAGTCTACTTCTTTAAAAAATCCACTCTCCTTAAAAACAGCTTTACCGAGCTATGATTCTCCTCTGGCTCAGCCACAAAGTGTACCTGTCAGTGCTTGTTCGTATGTTCACAGCACTGTGCACCTGTGACATTTTTTTTAAATGTATTTTTACTGGTTTCAGAGAGGAAGGGAGAGGGAGAGAGAAAAACATCAATGATGAGAGAATCATTGATTGGCTGCCTCCTGCACGCCCCCTACAGGGGATCGAGCCCACAACCC